TATCTGGCAACAGACAGAATGTTTGCTCTTCTTGAAAATATTTTAACCTGTACAGAAATAGGTCACCCCATGTTTTGTTCACATGTACATACATTCTCTTTTTTTTGCGATAAATTTGCTAATCAAATATTCTTCTTATTTTCTGTTACTATTCACTGACTTGATAACATCATTCTGTCTTTTCTTAATACATTATCATCGGATTTTTATGTAATTATTCTGAGCCAAGCATAATTAACTGATTGAAAAAACCAGTTTTCTATTCCGAAAAATTCTGTTCTGGGCGTGCTAAGTACACAGTATGAGAAACAATGTATAAGTAGGAATAAAAAATGAAAACTCAGTCACTTCTATCTTGCTTGAGAGACACAAATTGTTGTTCTAATATTCTTGTTCTTTCAGAAAAGGATGCGGAAACCATAAGATAGACATCACTGATTATTTTGTTGCAATATTTCTACATTTTATATTTCGTAATTTATCGACTGCGTAATCGTTTAACATTCATGGCTGTAAGATTGACTGAACATTTTGAATCCATGGATGTGATTGGACCAAAACCAACACCGAAATACGGAAAATGTCATGTTAACGAATCTAATGAAATTACAACGAAGAGAACCAAGTATGTAAATTTGAATCAGCGAAAACTGTTGTCATAGATCATTATAGACATAGAAAACGGTGCCGCGTGGTAATCCTGCTAATGCTACTTTCAATCTGCATTCTAGCAACCGTGATTACTATTCCAATTGTTCTATTACTTCTACCGACAAGGCAAACTTCAACTACTACCACATCTGGTAATTCGTCTAGCACAATTAGAGATGCGCATGTGAGTGTTACAAATGAGTGGTAATATGAGTGTCGGTAAATAGAAGGCGTTAAGTTCAACCTGTATCCAACTATAAACGACATTTTCGCTATACTGAGTAAATAACTGTGTAACTATTATAGGTGCTATTTACAGGACACAAGATAATAAATGTCGGTTTTTAAAAAAATAGTCTCTACCATTTTTTGAATAACTCTCGATTGCTCATAGTTGTCGAGCCCGGATTTTCGCCATTAGAAAGAGCAAGTGAGGGGACATCTATCTATATAAAATTCATAAGGTTCGAATAAGTTTTTGATAAATGTTTTTGAACGAAAATTTTATCAGGAATAAAGGTCGTTTTGGGCTAGAATTTGGTATAATTTAAGCGTAGATTGCTGTGAATACTCATGAAAATGGACAACGAAAAAGATGTTCGTTCAAAAACATTCATCAAAAACTTATTCGAACCTTATGAATTTTATATCGGTAGATTTCTCCTCACTTGCTCTTTCTAACGGCGAAAATTCGAATTCGATAGCTACAAGTGATCGAGAGTTATACAAAAAATGGTGAAGGCTATTTTTAAAGAAATCCGACAATAGTACTACAATTATCGCTTAGTATGTTGTAATTAGGTAGTAATTTTATTGCCGTTTAACAAAATAGTGGTCATAGCATTTTTTTAAAAATAACTTATGAACGGGAGCAGTTAGTGACTTGAGCTTTTCACGACTGATGAGAGAACTCATGTTTTATAATGCGCGAATGAAACTACTAGTGTGAAACACCTGCTTTGTGTGGATCGAAAGAAAACAATTTTTTCTATTGAGAAGTGCAATCAAAATTTTTCGTTGAAAAGAACACATTCAAAATATCGTTTTTAAAAATTGTCACGAATGATACACTTGATCGGCTTAAATAATTTTCGAAAAAGTTCAATGCTACTAGATCTTCTCTTTTGAACAGTAAAAAACCATAGGACGCTAACTGGTTCTATTTTTAAATTATTCAAAAGATGCCAAGAGCCACTATTTTTTCTAACATGTAGCATTTACTTTACTGTATATTTACCTAAAAAGTGAGGTGAAATATATGTAGCAATTCTATAATCAACAATAACGGCAATAGCCGCATTCACATATGCAGATTCAACTATATCTACACCCACATCCATCCTATCGAGAAAATTTATTGGATTTCATTTCATTTATTTTCACTTCAAAAGGCTTCTCAACATCAACCAACCGTATTAACACAACACATCTATCTACGGCAAGTAAGGTCTATCTTGAATTTTTTCTGATATTACAGTATTCATTATCATAAAACGCATAGGCACTGCATCTGTAGTTATGAGTACAATAGAAGCTGAATCGAAAGGTCCGACGACAGCAATGAGCACGATGGAAGCTGCAACAATAGCTATTACTACACAACCTTGTAAGTCTAGATTATTATTGAAGAAGAGGTAAACTCTTGCGAAAATATCTTCTTCTTGTATAATTCTGTTCTGTTTCTCGGCACTAATCAGGAATAGTAATCCTCATGGACATCTAAGGATTGGAACCGGGAACGAAATTAAAAATCATTATTCCCGAAAATTTGTATATACTATTTGGGTGTGTGTTGTGGCAGTAACCGTAAGTTTGGATGAGGCAGGAAAGTTGATCTTCACCCAGAGCCACATCCCAAATTTTACATCTGTGAGGTTCCCTTTTGTATTAACTTCCTGCTCATGTCTATACGTAAGCTGGGCAGTAACTATGTATATGTATGTGTATGAATATTGTCTTTGTGGACTCGAGAGCTTCACTTTAACGACTTACTACGGGATGTAATTGTCTATATTATTTGGTGTGAGGATCAAATAATTTGTTTCGAGTCATCGTTTATTGAGTAAGTTCGAAAAAGTAACGGCTGTGGCAAGAGGCCAACAAAGATATAGAAAAAAAAACTAACTGAAAAAATGGAGAAAAACACCGATACATTTAGATCATAAAAGAGAGAGAGAGAAGAACAAGAAAAAGTATTAGAGACCACATCAAAGAGGAACAAAGAGACCAATGAATAAAGGACATTTAAGAGTTAGCGGCCACATAGTGTCATCTGTTGACACTAAAAACATCCGTCTCTGTAATGAGGAATTTATATAGTGATGCACTGAATTGGCTTACTTGATGGTATATAAATAAACAATAATTCGAATTCCTTTTTAAAACTGCGAACAAAGGCGATACTTTAAACCCTCGGTACCACATCGGCGTTCGCTATCAATTCATATTATCATATTTTGTGTTATAAAAACATATGAAGCTAGTTCACAGTTCGTAGGTTATTTTTCAATGAACGTCTAAGGATACTATGGACTTCAGTTCGGTTGCTGAATGCTATCAAGAACGTATCAGAACTCAGTGTTTCCTGTGGAACTCATTATTTCTAATATAAATTGAAAATAAAACGTAAGTTACAGAACACGCTATTTTCTACGGGCAAAGTGTTCATGAGCACTTGTTTTTATAAACAACATGTACCAAAGTGTACAATTCAGAAGTTTCATTTTACAAAAAAGCAGTGCAACACATTTTTCAGATCTCTGAACATTATCAATCATGTTGGAAAAATAACAAATAAAAAACAAATGAGAGAAACAATTCCTATCTGATTCGTTTAGGGAAGTAGATTATATAATAATACAATATTACAATGGTACATGAGCAAGACGAAGAATTATTTACTTTTCTCAATATCTAAAATAATCACAAAGAAATTAAAGTCAAAACTATTACCGTCATTTGATAATCATATCTTTTAGTACAATTTTAGGAAAACTAAATTGACTTTGTCGAAATTTTAAGTTTTTCCTTCAACTATTACATAAATATTACAAGTAGACTAATTTGAATGTAAATAGATGAGGAAAAAATGTAAAACTTATTATATTCCAGAAATGTCGGAATAAATTATGGTATAGACTAATGAATATTCATAGTTCCTATGGATTTTTCAACTGACAATAATTTTAAAATTTCATCTACAAAGTCTACAGTGTACATTCTACTTTTTAAATCAAGTGTGAGGCGGCATGTATTTTGACAACTCCAAAATTCTGTGCACTTTGCTTTCATTGCGTATATTTACCATTGGAAACGTTGTTGGAACTATTCTTCTTTGTTCACGTCGATTATATTTGTACCAACATATAAATAAGTAAGAGTGTGGGATGTGAGTGTATGATAGAAAAAAATCACACCCACATCCTATATAAAACAGATTACTCTTATTTTATAATCTAAATCATTCGTTGTGAGTCTTGGAAAATCAATACTTATTCAATAAAGAATGATTGTAAATTAAGAGAAACTGGATATATATCATAAGTATAGTATCTGGGATGATTCTCATTTGCGTAAAATATATATTAACGATCAAGCCGTTTTGTACATTTGTTAGCAGGAGACTTCGAATTTTAATGTCATTTTGATAGAATCATATAAGCGTTTAAATGGAAAAAGGCAACAATAAATTTTATTTTTATTTTGTTACAGCTAACAACGATTCGATTACTACGCAAGGAATATGTTCATCTAATTTTGCTGCTGGTAAATTATCTTCGGTTATTCTGAAACTAAGAAATGCTGATGAACTTTCATTCAATCCGATTGGTACGCCAATTGTTTTTGAATTTCAAAGTCTATCAAGCAGTTTTGATAACTACACGTTTTTCGCTGATGGAAATCCTATTTATGACATCAATAGTACTTCTAACACCATTACTGTCGGTGGGTTCTTCAATGAAAGAGTTTTTTTTAGTTACCTTGGTTTAGATGCCAGTGGGTTACCAATCTTTTGTTCGTTTCTGTTATATTTTGGAAACATTTCGATGCATATTCACATTTCGTATTCAAATGGTACGGATGCTGGAGGAGTAACAGTGACTATTAGTTTAACAAGCGATCAGCGAATCTCTGCTGTTGGTCTCACCGATGCAAGTGGTATGATCATTTTCAATAATGTACCGTACTTAACAGTATCTATATTTGCTCACGAAAACGGAAACCAAATGAGTGTGGCAGGCTTAATGCCACACAACTCAACAGTTTCTCTCGTTTTGATACCATTCGTGGAACAAAACATTCCTCTGATTCAAGATCAAGAAATAGTCAGTGTCAATACTAGCACAATAATGGTTCTTCAAACAGTTTCAAGGATATTTTATAGTCAAACAGCAGCTAATCAGGTTAATGTAGAATATCAATTTGTTACTAGTGAAGTGCCTGGAGGCTTTTTTGGTTCAAGATATAATGATTATTTTAGCGTCATTCTACGCTCAGAAACAGGACAATATGCTATGAAAAGTGATAGCATGAATGGTCTTGGCATTACAGAATTTGACAATTCGACGGGTGCTTCGAAATGGTATAAAATTACTCTACCAGTTCAATCGAATCAGGAAATGTTTCGATTAGATCTCAATGTTGCTAATGTTTGGGACGCTGGTTTCGATTCTCAAGTAAATGCTCGGCTTCTAACCTCTGAACAATGCACTAGTTGTGAACAAAGTTGTACGAGTTGTACCACAGATCCAATCTGTCGAGACGTATGTTTAAATCCACCAATAGACAGTTGTTTGTTTTATCGTGAGTGTATGGAGGCAAAGTCGAAATGTGGATCGAATGGATATGCCGTCAGCTATGGCTCAAAATATTGTTCTAAATTCCTTGCTTCTTCAGCAACTTTTAGTTCGATTGGCCAGACATGGATCTCGAATACTGCGGACTGTTTGCAAAAAACTTTACTTGTGTCATTGAAAAACTGTGATAACTGTTGTTCTTTGGAGTGGACTGGATTCGATTCTCATTCACAATGCTATATTAATAATGGCATTTGTAATTTACCAGCAATGGATTGGATATTGATTTTATCTATTGTTGAAAAACATGTTTTAGATCGAAATATATTTATTCAAACATTGAAAGCCGAGCCGCAATGTATTTCAACTATATTGAGTAACATCCTCGATGCAATGCCGAATGTATCTAGTCCAGTTAGAAATGCATTATCAATTGTTTATCATTGGTTACAATCATTGTAAAGCGAAATATACTCTAGAGTGGTAAAATAAACTCTTTCTATCTGAATTAGAATCACATAGTGACTTCTATATTTTGAGAACGTTAGTAATATCATTCATACTTTTCTTAATGGTATTATATTCTTAAATTTTTTTATGAATTATTTAATTATTCACTCATTTCATTCCTTTTTATCTACATTTTGAAATTTTCTTTCAGAGGTTTTTCTTAGTTCTCTGATTCTATTCTTTGCTTTTCAAGTCTTACTAATAAAATATCTGTTTTAATCGATTGTTATTCTTTATATTACTTGTCGTTCTTCTCAATGAGTTCTGCATTATTAATTATTGCGGTTTGTTGCCTATCGCTTCATCTGGCCGTGTTTAAATTATTTGCTTCCATCTATTGGTATTTTCTTTTTTTTTTCGTTCGTCATCATCGTTTCATATACATGTATATGTATAAATACTATTTAAGACATAGAATAAAGCAGTATTAATTGATTAGATATTAAATTGCAAGAATTTTGGGTCGAATTATATGTCGTCACCGACCAGGTTTTTTTCAATTCACTGCTGAACTTTTCATGATTAACTATATTTTGAATATTCTTAGTTTCGAATTCCTTTCTCGAAAAAAAGACTAGAAATAAATTTAATACGATGAATAGAAAACAACAAATTTAGAAAGTCACGCGAAACTTGACCCAGTTTTAATACAATTGTGGTTGAATTTCTTTCTTTTTTCACTTTCATGTGTCCTTTTCATATTCGTTTAATCTATTTGTCAGACAACAACAAGGAAGATATAAATATTAAGACTAAATGAGAATATATCTATTGAGTAAAACGTTCATTAATAATAGAATGACTTCGATTATTACTTCTTGTTTCTATTCACGGAGGCTCAATAAAAATTTACGAAAAGATGAAATTATCCAATTAATCAATTGTTTTAAAGAAATTTTCTCTAGTCTACAACATATATCTCACTCTAATATGCGATAAAAAACCACAATCAAGAAATCTAATATGACATACGTAGAAATTCGATTGATTTAGGTCGTTGTGAGAAATATTCTAATGAGCGTTGCATTGACAGAAACATAACACATAAGAAATATCGAGAAAAAGCAATAGTGAAAAAGACGAAGAATAAAAAGAATTGCTAAGAATAACACAGTTTGTGATTGTTGACAGAAGCATGTAATTGCTATTAATACAGGTTTTTCCGTCACATATTTATCCTTGAAGGTCGCGCATAAGAGAGTTAGAAAGATCAGAAATAACAAGAAAATAAGAAAAAGTAAACTAAGGTATTTCTTAAAAAACTTTAGACAATGAAATATTAGTCATTCAGGTATTATCAGAGTTTGTGCTTGTAGATCTTTTTTTCATTCAAACTTTTAATTTTTAATAACATACTATACACACATCCTACTCATGTTTTATAATGACCATTCAGCTACTTTCGTACACCTACTTTTCTGTATTGATATACTTTAGATTGAATTAGTCGATTCGATTACGTACTCCCTGCATCGATATAATTCATGAACGAGATGAATATTCTCTTCATTTATTTAGGAAGAACGTCAATTTCTGATTTTTTCGGAAATTCTTTTGTGTAGACAGGATTTTTCAGTACACTGGGAAAGTATCAAAACAATCTTACTCGAAAACTTAAACAACAGTAGTTATTCTCACTTATTCCGTTTCTCTTCTCGTTTAGCCTCTTTTATATATAGCCTAGATAGGAAAAAAGTAGAAACTAAGTATAGTAATAGTCATAACATATATGTGCACACAATCGCTTGTTGTTTTTCTCAAGAAGAAATCTTCTTGTTCTGTTTATTTTTCTTTCTGTCAACAATGCTTTTCTCATCGGTGTCAAATAACATACTACTTGAAGTCTAAGGTTTATAAGTGAAGGACTAAAATAATTGATGTTTTGTTATGGTCACAGCTGGTCTCTTGAATTTAGTTTTTCCTTGGAAAAGATTGTATGTGTTATATATGAAAAAGTAAAATTATACTTTGATGTGCTACTTCTCATTAGCAAACATAAGGAAACAAAATATTAAGTAAATGAATTTTTTTAAAAGTACGTTTGGTATCAAGTTGATAGATTTATTAATATTTTGAAAAACGATAAAATATGATAACTGTATTTTAAAGATTTGATTTTTGACAAAAACTATAAAAATCAAAATGTTCTTAAATATTCCAATGAAATTTTATTTTGTTCTAATCAAGTACATTTAAAATTACTGAGAAGACTGCTACTTCATAATGTACACAAAGATTCAAGTTTAGACTTTATCATAAATTTTCTTGATAATCTGAAAACCAGCAACACAGATCGGTAAATTTTTTGAGCTAGATAACAGAGATCGTTATTGTAGGAATATAAATCGCAACGCATTAATAGAAAGTACCTATTTAGTCTCTTGAGAAAAGAAAACACACTACAGAAATAATTGCATTAAGTTTTAGCCATTTGAGGACCGAATTTTTTTTCTCATCGAATTCAGTTCGTCCAGTTGATCTAAGTTATTGACTATTTCATCGTAATCGAGATCGAGATCGAAGTCACTCTCGCCGTTGTCATCACTAGTGTATGAATTACGGGACTTGTCATCAACTTGATTATTTCCACAGAATTCCATTGGTTTAGTTTGAATTATAAAAATGGTATAAAGAAATGAAGAGCACAAGTACGAGAGCGAAATGATACGCTTTGCAAATTCAAGAACAACGTAAAGTCGTCAATGACAATGGGAATATATATAAACTCGATAGAGAATCAGAATATTCTCGGGTGTGAGTGTGAATGTAGTAAGAAAGACTCACATTCACACCCATGTGAGGAATTAGTAAGTTCTGTTTTATTTAAAAAAAAAGAGTTCAACTGAAGGTATACAATAAACAGTTAGAATTCTGTATTATCCTTAGTCATGCTACGAAGTGTTTCTAATTTCTTTTCAAGTTCATTAATATCCTTTAGAAATTCTCCATTCATATGTTCTTCGATTCGACGCTGATGTTCTCCAAGTAAACGTTCAACTTGTTGTCCATTATTTTTTGAAATATCATCCCATAATTGTCCTATCAAACCATGTAATTCATCTAATATTTGAGCTATTATACTCTGTAGTTTCTGCATGATAGGAACCATTAATGTTAGTAATTCTTTGTAGATGATCATTTTCTTTTCATAGAGAGGATCATTAGGATCTGGTCGAGCTTGTTTAATTCGTTCACGTAAATCATTTGTTTGAGATAGAAGACTATTTTGAAGATCAGCAATCATTTCATCAACAAAACTATCAAGTTGATCTGAATTCATTGAAGACGAATGTTGACGATGATCGCTAGGTTTCAGTTTTAGTACCAATGTTTTCAGTTTTCTACAATTATTTCGAACGATTTGTATGGTTCTAGTCTATAGAAATAATCCAAAATATTTTTCTATTCGGAACAAATAACTTACCGTCATTGAAGCATCATCTTGTTGAATAGACATATTAATCTAGAATAAAAATTGTTTATATAATATTTATTATTTTAATGACGAAAAAAAAGAGTGCTAAGTAATTTAAACGCATCTCGAATTTGTTCAATGATTTTGAGAATTGTTTGTGCATTATCATTGATCCACTGAACAATACTTTTAACGATCGAAATTATTTTTTCGAACATTGAATGAATCCATTCAGTGACTTGATTGACACCAGTCGAGGAACTTTCTACAAATTGTCGATATTGATTCAGACGAATTTCATAATCAGGTGCTTGATGATCGGTAGGTCGATGAGTTTTGATTTCATCTCGCATTTGATGAAGACGTCGTGTGACATCGGCAATAAAGTTGTCTGTTTCACGATCGATTTGTTGTTCAAGTTGATCAGCTTCGATGTTTGAACGATTGTTCACTACTTCTTCAAGTTTATTTTCCAAAGCTCCAACACGACTTTGTATATAGGAACGTAGTGGTTTCTCATATGTATCAGAAGAATTCATTGTATTGTGTGAGTGATATAAATTGACGATGGATTGTAAAAACACCTTGTGATTATATTGTTCACATTCTTTCCAAGTTGAAAAAGAAAAAATCCGTGTTATGACGAATGTTTGTTTACACGAATCCGATGAAATATAATGCGTTTCTTTCTTTCTTTCCAACAAACTGGGTAAAAATGCATGTCATTACCAACATTTTATGATGCCAAGTGGATGATTAGTAATCATTTTCTTTGACAGTTTTTTTTTCACCTATAACTTATAAACAGTACGGGCAAAATCAGTTGAGTCATTTGAGTCATTTCAACATAACGAAATAATAACACATAAGTATAGAACAATTGTGGAAATATTAGATTTCTTCAAAAGGAAAAATCCAAATAGCTCCTCATCTGTGTATATATAGCGATATATCCGATAGGTGGATAATTACAAGCCAAATCATCATTTAACCTATTGGTGAGTTTAAAAAAGGTGAATTGAATAATTATGTTCACCTTTTAAATCTTTGATTTTAGAAATATTGTTTATTTCTAAAGAAATGGCCGAACGTCTATTATCTTTTGATGAAGAATTCCAGCCACAAATTAAAAATACATTGAATACGTTAGTTGATCATGTTCAAGAAAAGATGGATAGTGCTGAATCGTTGAGTGCTGATGAAGCTGAAAAGTTGTTAGATGATGCTTGTAATGATTGTATCACAACATTTCAAACAAAAATGGAAGAAATTAAAAATTCTGCGAGACGAGCGAGACCTGATCTATCAAGTCCAACATACACCGAAGATAACAAGAAGTATACAGATTATATAGTAGCCGTGACAGCTGGAATTAAACAGAGCAAAAGTTTATTTGATACTGTTTTTGAACGTATTCGTAATATTGTATCCACTGTGGTTGAATGTATCAAAGCGGGTGTGGAATGGGTGTGGGAACAGTTGAGTACAGCGTTTGATTCAATTAGATCTCTTTGGAAATCATAAATGTTTTTTTATATATCTCTTTATAAAAATAACTATAAATTTTGATTAAATAACCTTATAAAATTCTAGATTAAATCCTATCGATTCATATGTCATGGCACTTTCTGGTGATCTGATTGATTTTGATGACATGGACAATGCATCATCCATGATAAGTTGAGCAATCATTTCACGCGAAAAAATAAAAGTAACGTTTTCTAATCATATATCTAGCCACAAGTACATGATGATAGAAACAATAGAACAATAGATTTTACCCAACGTGCTCATTTTCAGGTAAATGTTTTGATGATTATATTCTCGAAGAAAATGATTTTTAGACCACACCTACGAATGCCAATAGAGGTATTGAAAATAATCTTGTTAACGTGAGTATGACATCGTTTTTGCTTTCAATCTATTCAATAAATTTGTTTTTAAGGGTACAATCACTATTGTTCGAGAGAAGTGCAAAACATTGATACTTAAACTACGTACACCTAACCGTCGATATCTTGTTTTTGGTGGATTGGTTAAACCTGAAGATGATATTGATCGAATTATTGATGAATTAGGTGATACATTGGCCCAAAAAGTGATCGAAGCTATCAACGGAATTCGGGAAGAAGTGAAGAAAGCACGGCCAAATGAAAATGACATTGATTATCAATTAAAAATTCAAATTTACAAAGATCTTCTTGAATATGTAACAAATTTGATCAAGAAACTAACAAAAGTCTTTGATGAATCTCTGACTGACTATCGTATTCGTGTGGAACAATTATGGAATGATTTGGAACATACATATGATTTGAATGAGATTAATAATTATATTGAAAAATTCAAAAATGAATCCGAACAACTATTTGCTGATCCCATTCAAAAGCATTTAGATGGATATCTAAATATAATCGAATTGAAGATGAACTGTATGAAGCAACAAAATAATCTGTTGTGAAGGATATTGTTCTTTTGTAATTATTTGATAAAAAATAAACGGGAGCCGAATAATTGAAATAATATACTGAGATTTTCTCTGATAGATTTATTGGTAAAGATTGAACATTCTTCTCCTGCGGATAAATTATTCTCAATTTCATGAATCTGTCCTATGATCAAAACAAAAAAGGGTGTGGATGTGTGATGAGAAGATATCCACCCCCACCTCTTCTAGTGCTTCAATTATTCATATAAATCGCAGTAATAAACAGCATTCTCGGGATTGTGTCGGGATCCTCAAAAGATTACGTAGAGGAAATGACGAAAAAAAAATCGAATATTTTAAGGCTTTCTCAGCAGAAGAAACATAACCTTACATTGGCATTCGAAGTTCATTAACGCATGTGATCTTTCTTAAATCGATGTACAAAAACTGTGACAACTCTGTTAATTCTTTTATGAATTTGACGTTTTGTCATTCTTTAGTTAGGACTAAATAAATACGAAGAAGACTTAATTATTGTCCATTGAGACTTCAAATAAAGCTTTTAACATTATCGAAAGAGGAAGATAGTGATATTCATTAATTTCATTTAGTTGTTGTTGTCTTGAATTTCTCTATTTTTGAATGATTAATTATTCATTGTTTCATAATCAAGGAATCATATCGATTTCCATACGGTAAACGTATTCTTATATTTTCTGTGATCCTTTGAAACACAATTTTCGTGTTCGTGTATTTATTTATAATAATAATCTTGAAGAAGTCCTTGAATCATCTCTTTCCAATTGGTACCATTAGAAATCATTTTGTGGGATGATGCTGAAGATAATTTCCAATTCAACAACGCTTTTTATCAATCTAAATAATTGGTACCATATAATCATTGTTCTAAAATATCACAAGGATCTTTTCTTTCACCTAAAACTGAATTTTTAAACAACGTTTCATTTATCAATCTTGTCGATTAGTTCTTCGAGAATCCTGCAAGCTTCGTGGTGGACATCGGCAATGTCAACTGTAGAGGAGCTTTGATTTCATTGGAACGTATAAAAACCTCTAGAAGAAAGAAATTATTGTTGATTCAATGTTTAAATGAAACAACTATGTCAGATCATTAGTATGATCTGTACAACTGCTTATTATTCCTTTGACGAGTTCTATTCTCGAACTTGAAGATTCTTTATCAAACAACTCAAGCAAGAATTGGACTATGCTCAGTTATTTAATTCATAGCAGTAAACTTGAAGAAAGTGACCATTGTTATTGTGTAAATTCTGAAAGAGTGACAATGTTAGAGCTATCAAAAACGCATCAGTTCAATGAAGAAACAGATTATAATGGCTCCGACTGCGACAATACATCCCCAAGCACTCCATCCAAATAGTCTGGCTTTGAAAAATGCATGTTGAATATATTTGGTGTCGTTCACATTTGGAAACGGAATATCTGTTGGAATTGGCACATTCAGAAATTTGCATAGAGGCGGCCATCCTTCTTTAACATTGAATACGAGTAATTCGTTCTTCTTATTTTCGTTGATTACTCGAGCATTATATAAATCATGAATTCGTGGTCCAATTTCACCATATTCAATCATCCACTTTTTAAAAATCTTTTTGGCGACAATGCATTGCAAACGTAAAAAACGAATAGGATAAACTGCTATGTAATAGGATATATCAGTAGCGGTCGGTCCAATCGAATTTGTCATACTTTCAAACCATTTTTCACCGGTATCGCGTACAGTAAGTATTATTTTTGCTTTCGGATAAGCTTTATGAATTTCTTTGTAAAATATTTGTGTCGGAGCATCTACTGTCGATCCATAGCCTTTCATTAATTCATGAAAATCAATTTCATGTCCATCCAGTGCTCGTGAGAATAGTATACTTCGTTCAGGTTTATCAAATAACTCGGCCATATGATGACAAGGACCAAAACCGAGTTGTTCTAGCGCAGCTTTGAGTGATGAAGTACCTGTTCGTGGTAATCCAGCTCCAATAATTCGTAGATAATTTGCATGATCAGAATCTGTTTTTCGACGATGAACTTTTTCATCTTCAAAAATGATTTTTTGCATTTTATTCAATTTTCTAAAAAATACAGTAAGTAGAAAGATTTGAAGAGTTGTTAAATAGTGTACAAATGATGCACAGAGTACTGCATAAATAAATCTAGGACTAAAACAATTTGAATATCTTTTAAAACTCAATTCGATTATTCAACTGTTAACTTTGACTTTTCCACTATTTCCAAGGATGAGGGTGACACGAAATCCTGCTCACATACATGAATAGTGTAGAATCCGAGAATTGTTGATCTCTTATGAATTCTTGAAACTACAATCATCGATAGTTCAAATATTAAAAATTGTGTTAGTAATAGAAGATCATAGTTTATAGCGGTATATAATCAGTATGTCTTGATCAGGCGGTATCAAATCAACATCTATATGATGAAAGTTTTGTAGAAGGATAGTTTTTATGTCAGAAAATTTATATTCTATGTGCCGTAGAATCATAGCAACGTAGATTTTGATTTCATACATGATAGAGAATCGCTCAAGGCAAATTTTGTTACATGTACTAAAAGGCATGAACCCGGACAATGTCAATAAGCCGATTGGTATTCAATTAGATAGATTGGAACTATTTTTTAGTGTCTTTCTTTCACGTACCATGAAAATGCGTAAGCGTCAGACAAACTCATCAATCATAGGATTAGCATATATCGATGTAGATAATACGATCGCTGATAGGATGCTTTCCGTGTGTGATCAACAGAATGGATAAAGCGTTGATTTCGTTTGAGAATAGTGAAAAGACGTGAATAAAAATAAAACTGCTCAACAGCATGTCTATGATGATGAATATTGATAATGTAACTATGAATACTTCAGACAAAACGGTTTGTAATCGAACATCGTCAGGCACTATTTGCAGTGAATGATAAGCAGGTGATTTTTCTAATTTTAATGGTGTATCTATCATTAAATCTTAACGATCGATGCTAAACACTACACGACACCAGTTACCGATAAAAACAAAGTGAGAAAGCGAATGATAATAGACAACACTATTTGTAACTACTCGCCAACTTACCACGTGCAGAACAGAAAAAAGACAAGGTAAATAGAAAAAGCGTACGAAAGGCTTCTTTTATTTTTCTTCTCATATAATGTCTAATGTTTCACAACGACACCAACCAATGACTAATCATATGCTTTGTGATAGCTATCTTCCTGTCAGACAGTGAAGGAAGGTGAAATAATCATTTTCGAAGAGTTGTCTTGAGGGTGGAATGTGGATGTAGATCTTCGCTTGTCGCTAACCTACACCAACTACTTTATTTATTATTCATATATTCTAAATCGAACTATTGAACGATAAAATTGTTCATTGTGTTCGATTTCGACATTTCGAGTTAACCAAAATATAGTTGAAAAATTATCCTGTAGTTCATTGACTGATGGTTGATTAAAAACGCGATATTGAAGGGCAAAAATCATTTCCAATCTTCGTAATTGTGGACAGTTTTCTGCTAGTAATATTTCCCATTTATTTCCAATGCAAAGAACATAGTCACATGAAAGTTTCATTTGAGTTAAATTGGGAGTTTTTTGTAATAAAAGTTTTACATCTTCGAAACTGATATAATAATTAAGATGTACATTCAAGTGAACACAATTCCATAAAATAAAGTTTAACGAGCAGATTGGTACTAACATTGTCATACTGGAATCAGCATATAATTGATTTACTTTAATAGATCTAATGTACGGTATACACGGTAAGATTTGTAGAAAGTTTGTCAGACAAAGAGATGGAAGGGTAATCAATTCTAACTTTGTCTGCTTCGTTGTTGTTGTAGGTATTTGAAGAAGATGAGATGTGTTGTCACATTGAAAAATCAGTTGTTTAAGAGAATGAAAAACGTCATTTTCAATGAATAATAGTTGCAGTAATCGTTTTAAGCATTGATCATAATTAGCAATACGTCCTATTCGAATTTGTAAGGATTCGAGGAATGTTAAATGTGATAGTTGTTCTAAGAGTACTATAGAACAATCACTCATCAATTCACCTAAATAGACTAACGAGAGATAACGTAATTGATTGAACGTGCTAAACGAATATCGTGTAAAGAATTCTTCAATCTGAAATTCTTGATCGAATTCAATTGATTTAATCATGGCACGATTTTTCACTTTCGGAAGAATAACAGAAAAAGCGAAGTCGTAGTCTTTTGTTGTTGTAATTTTAAAACATAGTGATGTAATCTCAGACAGTATCGAAGTGATTTTTGAGTTTATGTTGTCAAATGTATGATAGAGTTCAAAAACATCAAAGAATTCGAAGATCTCACACCATAATTCAGTTGAAAGACTTTCAATTGTGCTGCAAAGAAATGTGTTTGACATTGTCTTGAAGAATCTAAAACAAACAATTAGATCTATATCGGACCAGTTCGATTTGAAAACATAAGAATTCGAATGAAAGTACGTCATTCAATCACTCTAGTCATCATCATTTTTTCTCTCAGAGTAAAACGATTTCGATAACATGGAGTCCTTCACATTCTACCAACATTGTTTTTAAAAAACTTCAAACACATGCGAAAGAAAAAGAACAGAGAAACGAACTGGGCGCGATGTAATTTCGCAATGTGAACGTAAGTATTTACATAATGACGGCAATGTATCATCGATATTCTTACTCAATTCGAAAATATAGAAAGAGAAGCGAAAAAGAACGATAGAAGATAAATTTTAAAACTTATGGATGTGTGGGTGTGGGATGTTGATCTGTTGGCAGAATCCAGAAGTCAACACATCCAATAAAAGGGACCCATACTCACACCCTCATCAACAGTATTGATGATAGCATTCGATATATATGAAAAACAATACTTTCAACATTCATTTCAATACACAAGGATAAATTTGAATAAATAGATAAGCTAAAATGAATATGTTATCTGTTTTCAAACTGACTTGGACAATTAATAAACATAGAAAATAAGAGAATAAACGGTGCTAATCTCCATTTCTGTTGGAACAGTTTTGCAATGTATAATGGTTTATTTTAAAACAGTACGAATGACGAAAAAATAGAAAAAAAAACAATGAAAATCAGTACTAAATAAAGAAGAAACAAAGTCATTGCAGACTATTCCAATTGTCTAGAAAACCTTTTGTTACATTTCAATCGGTTATATCGATGGTTTTAATTGTCGCAAATTGTGTAAATATACTTGAACACGCGAATGGTCGTTAGGCAATTCCTTTGTAGCTGTTGAAATAGCCAATTCCAAATAATGTATAGCCATAAAAATATCTAGTTTATGTTTATAAGATAAACCTATAGAATGATAAATTTCTGCTAACATTGGATGTTGTTGCTTTTGTTTTAAAGCAAAGTCAAGCGCAGTTTCTAAACTATTGATTGACATTGTCCAATCCTCTTGTTTATAATAAATGCGACTCATACTATAATAGATCGATATGATAATGTATTCGAGATCTTGCGAAAAAGATCTATCAGATTTTTTATTTTGAATGAAAAGTTCAACGGCTTCATCAAAATATTTAATTGCCATGTGATAATTTTCTTTTTTTCCGTAAATTATTGCGATACTATTGAGTAATTGAAGACGTTCTATGATATCATCTGGTGAAATCTGTGTAAGTTCTTTATGATGAATTGACATTAGATAATCTTGTTCATCAGGATTATCTGATACACAGTAGAGATTCTTATATACTTGTCGAAGTCCAATATCATCATAACATTGATCATTTTTCAGCATATCATAGTAAATCTGAAAAGATTGAAATTTCGACTTATCGTACGGTAGAATTGAAATTCGAGCAATTTCAAGAGCTTTTTCCATGTATTTCAAAGCTGTTGTCTTGTCCTTTTCTTTGTTACATATTTTTGATAATAAGAAATGCATATGAGCAAAACTTTCATGATTTTCCGACAGTATTCTTAATTGATTTCGTAATGATTTCTGTGTTATTTTCCATGCTTTATCAATATTACCTAACTGAAATTGTATCATCCCAATATTATACTGAAATTTGCAGACATTAACATCGTTTTCACCAGCTTGTGATCGCGAAAGTATTCTTAATGCTGTCTCTGAATGATATAGAGCTCTATTTAGATCATTCATATCTCCGTATACCACACCAATATTATTATGTGTTATAGCTAATGATTTATGATTGTTACCAAATATTTTAGTATCAATCTCAAGTGCTTTTTCTAATACTTCCAATGTTTTTTTCCATTCCTTTTGCTCAAAATAGACAGTTCCTAAATTATTGTAAATTGCAGCGAGATCTGTATGCGTAGAAATGGTACCCTTGAGACGAATATCTAAGGCATGATGTAGATATTTTGAAGCATTTTCATAATCACCCAATTTTGAATATATCTCACCGATATTATTATACGCAGTTGCTAGTTCTGGTTTGTATTGATTTGTTTTTAATATTTGTTCATCAATGTGTAGTACTTTTTGAAAATATTCTAATGCTAAATGTTTATTATCTTTATCACGATATAATAAACCAATTTGATTGTATGTGTAGGAGAGTAATTTAGGTGATGTCTGAATATCAGTAGCCATAGTAAAATATTTCATAGCTAAATCAAGTTTACCAAGGCCATGATACGATACACCGATATCGACATATACTTGGCTGATATTTTCTTGTACATTATAAAAAGTTTGTTTATTCAAATATTCTAGAGCTTTTTCAAGATAATTCAAGGACGTTTGATGATCTCCTTTGTGATATGCAAGCTTTCCTAAACATGAATAAATGCGATATGTATTCTGATTATCTTCATGAATATATTCAAGTAACATATGATAAAAACGCTCAGCCCTTTCATAATCACCCATTGTTGTCAGAGCTTGTCCTAGACTGCATATATTACTTTCTTTACAATATTCGTTTTCTAATTCATTTCGAAGTTCACTAATATCATTATCATCTTCAATTAACTTTAATTTTACGTACCAATATCCTTTTTCTTTGATTGTTCGTTTATCTTGAACATATTCAATACGAAATATCGATCCAACTGAAAATACAATTTCAGCTTCTTCAGGAAATTTGCTCAAAGCGCTGATTGAAGCAAATGGTCTTTTTATTGTTGAATGAATAATGCCTATTTCAATTTCAAATAGAACAGATAGGATATTTGGATCTGGATCTGTACCACATCCAGAGAACATTTCTGCAACATCAAAATCTACAGTTGTAGAAAAGAATGTATTAATTGACATTAAACGACCAACATTATCCTTTACACTATTGAATTCGAGATTAGTCATAAGTTGTCCACGATATACAGTCTGTGGAATTTTATCAGGATACTGTTCGGAATATAATTTTTGTAAATGTTTATACATATCAGCTAAGAAAAATCGGAATATGAATAATAAATCAATATTCTCCGTTCGTAAAGCTTGATTAAATAAACGATACAGAAATGAATCATTTGTATAAAATTTTAGTGCTTCTGTTGATTTGTAATTCTTTTCAAAATCTAACATAGCTTTTTCTGCCGTTTCATTATGGTTGTTCATTGTTGAATTTTCTATATTTTCATCGTCCTTACATGGTATTCCATAATGTTTTCGACATTCAAATAACATTTCATCTTTTGCTTGATCGTTATATGGTATTTTAATTAAAATATCAACTAATAATTGAAACCATAAAAATCGAACATTATCTTTATTTAAATCTCGAACTGTTTTGACATTTTTATCTCGAAGAAAGACACTTATGGGTATTGGTGAATGTTTTAGACAACGTTCATATTCTTTGGATAATTCTTCAGATAGATTTTTAATATTTGAAAATATACCATGCAATTTTGGATTGGACAGTTTTGAATTTATAGTTAATTCTTTCTGAATTTGTAATATATAAATAGCAATAATTTGTGAGTAATTGGAGATTTTGTCTACTATCATGTTGTTATTTGAATGTGATGAAATAAAAAATATTCTTTTATCATTAGATGATTTGATAAAATCAATACATTGATCAAAATTGAAAAATATTTTTAAAGATTTAATAATATCCGATATAGGTGATGTGTCAATTGTTGTATAATTTTCGTCGTCTTGTAACCAAATGACTAAATATTCATCGAGAGTGAGTGCTTCTTGTATTAGAAGTTTGGTTTTGGGTTTAATAGGCTTCACAACATTTGGCATTAAATCTCGTCGAAATATTTCAATATCTTCCAATAATTGATTGTTTGCATCGGATGAATTTTTTTGAACAATAGTTCGTAGTTTTGAGTATTGTTCTTTTTTATATATCACGATGTCTGGTGATTCCGAATAAATATAGAAAAAAACAATTTGTGGTAGATTATGAATTAATTCGAGTAGATAACTGAATTTATCAGTAAGTGCAAGAAATACTTTTCGCCATTCGTATGATGTAATAAAATCTATACATTGATCAGGATTATGAAATGTTTTGTAACTTTTTACGATTGTCATTTCATTACTATCTTTCTTTTTCCATACTTTACATAGTTGAATATTTTCTCCCATGTTAAATTGTTCGTCCAAATGGATTTCTATGAAATGTTCATTACCATATTCTTCGGTTGAAATACAATTGATTGGCATAGGTAAAATATCAAAATCTGCCATCATACAAATTGAGCAAAAGTCTGAAATAATAATTCGTTGAAAAATTAGGTTATGAAAAAGACTAAAGGGAATACTAATTTTATATGATTTCTTAGACCGGAATAACTTTAATTTTTTGTGGACCTATAACAGCATTGCCTTGATTTTAGAGAAAGTTTTAAAAAAAAAGCATCACTGGAAAAATAAAAAGACGAATAATTATTATGGTGCGTCTCGTGCACTAGCGTTTTATTACGACTGAAAAAAAACAAATTTTGTATGTCGATTCTTGTCTTGTGAAAGAGACCTTGAGAAACATTTACGAAGATTGTGCTTTATTGCACACGTTCGTATTCAAAAATCGATAAGAACTGTGTGCACCTGAAAGAAGCAGAAACAGTGCTTCTTTTCTGCAGATGTCGAAGGAGTGCGCATGCGGGTGTCGGTGGGTGTGTGAGTGTGAGCGGGGTGTAGGTGCGGTAGGTGTAGGTATGGGATGTTAGTATCCATCTTCTCTCAATTGACACCGACACCCTTCTTCTTGTAACTTTGAAGATATATTTTGTTTCGAATTTTCTTGAAAATTCTAAATAGATGAACCATCTGAATGAGTTCTTAAGCAAGGACGAAACCGGTCATGGCAGCTTCTTCACACTCACACCTTCAGATAAAAATATAAATTTTCTACTGGTAATGAATCTTTACCATATGCAATTGATATTACTGATTTTAATAGAGATTATATACAAGATCTTATTCTTCCTAATTCTGGTACGGATAATGTCGGCATTTTACTGGGACATGATAATAGGAGATTTAGACATATAAAAACTTATTCGACTGATCATGGTTCTGCACCAGTTGATGTAACCATTGGAGATTTCAATGGAGATCATCGACTAGATTCTGTCTCTGCAAATCATGATCATAATGGAATCGGTATCTTTTTAAGTACATGTTTATGAATTTGTTCAAATAGTTCTTATTTTGACTACAGACATTAACGACATGCAAAACTATTAATTCATATATTCTTTTATACTTAATATTACATGTAGATAAAATATAGTGTGTAGTTTTTCTTTTCTTTAGATTAGAATGAATATATCTATTTTTCAAACTGAAATTCGACGTTGGCATCACATAGAATCATATATCTTTCAAAAAATAGTAATAATTTTATTTTGTGAATAACTCTATGTTGAATGGATTGTATTATTTCTCTGTCAATAAATACGTCCGAGAAGTAATATTACTCGTCTAACTGACCTGTCTGTTTTTTTTTTCTAATTGAAATAAAGACAAGAGAGAGAGAGAGAGATCGTTTGAATATCACAAATTGTCATCTATACATTAACATTGAGAAGTTGAAGAACACATATCGAAGACAACGTAGCAATGATTTTTTTTTCTGAAAATCGGTGTACGACTATATCGATGAGTTCGGACAGTAGGGGTAATCTTATTGTTATTGATCCAAGATTACTTCAAGAAAGTAATTGTACAAACACTTCTACTTATTTTATTATTGTACCTATTGTTTTCTTGCTTATGATCATTGGATGTTGTTGTTGTTATTATCGTCGTCGACAAGCAAAGATTGTTGATATTCTATGAAAAATAATCTTATTTTTTTTTTCTTTTGTTTGTAAATGAAAATAGACATTTTTCGAAATAAAACAGATAATGAAAATATGTTCTGAAATACAAAGATTTAAATTTTCTCGCAAAAGAAAAACAAATGAGAGATGATATCGTCGAAACTTTAGCACAAAAACTCCGAAAATCAAATGAATAGAGAGGCAATATTCAAATAAAACAGAGTAGCTTGTAATAAAAGAAGAATTTTAAAAATAAAAATTTTATTATTTTGTTCTCGTAATTAAATGAGTCTTTGACACGAAAATAAAAAACTAAATTCGCTACTGTATAAGTTTTCTATAATTTACAATTAATTGAATATAAGATATAGTACTTGTTTTGTTCAAAATAGATTGTCAAATTTGATAGTTGATTTAGGAAGTGATGATAATCAGAGCAATGGTTGAACTCGTAGAGCTCGAAAAAAGCCAAAACTTGATAGAATAGGTATTGTTCGATACAACTGTAAATGTCTGACTCAAATAGTCATTTCCACCTACTGATCCATCCTTATAAGAACAAAATACCATTATGAGAATTTGACAAACTAATGGAATCTGAATAAGATGTATTGGTAGGGTTACAATAGGTCCATGCTAAAGAGTTGCCTAGCTCAAAGTCACCGTTCCATAAAAGCTCACTTCCAGAGCTATTAGTCACTGAAACATCATCCACGTAGTGCGAAAGTAAGTTTAGCTGAGCTAATGTTGGGTGCTGTGTAATTGAAGGAATACTACGTCCAACGCAAAGTTGAATTCAGATCTAGATAAAGAAGTTGCGTCGTGTAGTAGCACCACCTGTACATATATTACCAGTAGTAGTCATGCTTGTGGTAGTATTAATAAATAGTCAATCGAAACGAAATTTCATCTAATTTGTTTTGAGTAAAAAAAAAAGATGAAGAAATTACCAGTTGATATTAATCTGGTTGTAGTTTTGGTAGTTGATGTTTGACAATCTGATGTCAATTAAAATGTAGTGCTCACAGCCAGAACTAAACCAGCTGTTAGAACCACCTATAGTTAATCCTCCACAGAATGATATTGTTAATAAACGTTGGCAGTGTTTCCGTATAAATCGTAATCTTCAAAAAGATTGATAGTACATTCTTTATTAAAATCCACTTACTGTATTTTATTATAGTTTCTACAATTTGATTGATCGATATTAGTTGAAGTATTGTTTAAATTAACGTTATTTTCTTGCTAATCGATGAATTTTGATGTTCAAGAATTGTATCTTATGGCATTGACCATTTACTTAATCGAGCATTTATTGTTTTTATTTCAGCTATTGTTAGGTTTTAATGCTAGAGCAAAAAGAAACGAATAAATGAAGAATTCTATTTTTTTCTCATTCGAAGTATTTTTTTTTGTGACACAATCAATGACATGTACTTGTGATACTTTCTTTTTTTTTCAATTAATTTTTCTCTAATCAAAATTGTCAAGAATATTTAACTAAACATTAAATTCAAAAACACATTATTGGTGTTAACTTGAGTCATCTCCATCCTGGATAGAATTATTGAAATGTGTTAAATAATTGTGAGAAATTAGTTCGTTTTTTTTTCTCACATTTATTTCGAAGATGACAACATAAGGAGAGGAAAAAAACAGATAAGAATTGATCTTTAACCATTTTTCTTTCTCGTCAAAAGATAAAAACTATAGTCCTATGCTTAATTCAACTTTGATATTATTTCGTATTTACGATGATAAAATCTTCTAGAATATTCTATCAAACTTATTACTTAAAACATTTTTATTCAAGTTCAACAAAACAATCATCAATACCAGTTATTGAATAAACTAAATCATATGAAAATGAAACATATTGTAGAAAATTAGCTAAACAAATTGATGAAATATGTCAAAATATTGGATTATTTATTATTACTGGACATTTAATCGATGCAAAAAATTCAAAAATGATATGATGAATATCTCAAAAGAATTTTTTCATTTACCATTATCAATAAAAAGAGAAATAACTGATTCAAAAGATTATCCATCTTCATCAAATTTATTATCAGATTTAAAAGAAAGTTTTTCTATTGAACCGAAACATGAAGGAGAAATACGTTGGCCAACAAAACCTTTAAAAAATATCTTCAATTTCGTTAAATTATTATAAAGAATATTATAATTTATCTAAACATTTATATAAATTATTTGCATTAGCATTAAATTTAGGGTGTGGGTGTGGGTGTGGGATATGAGTAGATCCCGATCAACACCCGCACCCACCCCACCCTCTAAAATTTTAAAATAGTTCAAGAAATAATAATGTACGAAAGTTTGATAAAACTGGAAAGTTTCAATAGGCTATGGTGCTAATATGACTCCTTTAAGAGTATAGGAATATATTGTTCCTATTTCTTGAATTTACTCTATTGTTAATATATATCTTCATATGTTTATTTGTAATGCGGACTAAATGACCCAATTGGATTTGAAAAGTTCAGTTTGTTTCGATCTTTGATGTGTAATATTGATTCTCACATTTGATTATGAATGAGACAATACTTTGAAACGACAAAAACGAATAATGATTGCATATTTTTATCATACATTATTATTATCACACTTAAATCTTACAATAAGAGCCATTTGTTACAGTTTTTTTCATGACAAATTCACAACAATTGAAGACATTTGTAATTGTTATCACATATATCGCTGAAAACTAAAAGTATTTTAACGGTATTATTAATCGGAATGATAATTTCAGTCTTGCAAGTGAATATAAAGCAGAAATATTTCGAAGATAGAGAAGTCTTGTGATATCAATGCGCATATGACATGACTTTTTTGTCAGAAAAAAAGAAAAAAAAAAACTACAGTTAAGACAGATATTAGTGATATCGACATAAGTTATCTTTAGCTGAAGCACACGGTCGACACTAATATTTTGTGCAAACACTCAACTCTTTTCTTTTGCAAGGTATTGTCAAAGATGCAGAATATTGTTATCTATGCTTATAAGTTCACAAATGACAAAAAAAAACACGAGAATTTTTAAATGACATTTGTTTCTGTTCAAGTTACTTTTTTGTACTGCTGCAGTACATCTCTATCATCGGCTGAGATTAGTCCTTGTGCAAAATGGAGTCCACATGGTAAAACAGTGGCTGGTAATGGTCTTGTCGGTGATACGCTGACTCAACTGGCCACACCCAGAGGAATTTTCATAATGAAAAGAATGAATACATTGTATATAGCTGATTCAGGCAATTATCGAGTTCAGATGCTACCATTGAGTCAATCATCTAATTTGGCTACAACTGTTGTATTCGATGTTAGAGAACCATCGAAGATTTATGTTGATGATGATGAAAATGGACCAACAATTTACATTTCAGTTTTCATTGGAAATCGAGTTGAAAAATGGACGAAAGAAGCATCAAAAGGTATTCAATTAGGTGATGAATGTCGATCATGTTTTGGTATAGCAGTAGATAAAGAAAAGAATGTTTACATGTCAGAATTAGATAGAGAAGATGTATTAAAATGGTCACCTCAAACGAATTTGACGAAAGTTGTTGCTGGTCAAACAGATCAACGAGGAACAACGGACAAATATCTCAGTTCACCTCATGGACTTTATTTTGATCGAAACAGTGATACTTTATACATAGCTGATTCAGGAAATAACAGAATTCAAAAATGGAAAAAGGATGCTTTATCAGGCAGTCAAGTCGCTGGATCGAATACATCTACTCCGAGTGCTGATACTGGATCCTTAGATGAACCTGAAGGTGTTTGGGTTGATGAACTAACAAAAATTGTTTATGTAGCTGATACAATGAATAATCGAATTATTCGTTGGCTTCCAAACACGTCTGTAGGCGACATCATTGCGGGTGGAGAAGGTATGAATCAGAGAGCCAAATGATTCTGACTATAGGTTACATAATTTTGTCTTCAGAAATTTCTCAGTGCCTGAATGATTTTTCCTGTTTAGACTAAGATAACACAAAGAGAAGTTCTGAAAGCATAATTGTTTTCGATACAGTTGCAAATGACAGAGTCGAATCAAATGCTTAGCAGAAATAGAAATGAACAAATTGAAAATAAGTTTGAAATTGATCTTTCTTTGTTAATATTTGAGAATAGGTTCAGGCAATGCAACTAATCAATTCAATTCACCGAGCGATTTAGCATTCGATAGCGAAGGGAATCTGTATGTATGCGATACTTGGAATCATCGTGTACAAATGTTTTCGATCATTGACAATAAACCATGTTCTTCAACTTCAACAGGTAATATTCAATCATTTCATCTGAATTAACTTAATACCTTTCTTTTATTCAATAATTAGGAAAGAGGCAAATATACAGTAATTGGATAATGATCACAATAATTCTGTCAATATTAAGATGTATCATTGAAGGACTATTTTAATTATTTTTCTAATAAACAACTACATTTCTATTTTCATACTTTTAATTTTAATTATTTCTTGAAGAGATCAACAAGCATTTTCTTGGTTCAAATATAGTAACAACAATTTTTATTAAGTAGATGTGTGAGTCTTAAGTATGATCTTGCTTTTTTTTGAATTCGTTTAGGCTCCACATGGATACTTATCTTTGCAACCATATCCAGCTTGACCATCACATGCATAAACAACAAATGTTGATATTTGATATTGCCAATCATATCCACCACCAGTTGCAATAATTGCATATGTGCAACAACCATAATCAATAAAAGACATATCAACTTGTTGTGGTTCTTGCCAATTATCTTCAGTAAAAACAATTGGATTGAAATTAGTACATCGAGTACCATTGTAATACCAATTTGGTTGTACTTTAAATTCAACTTTGATTTCATCACCAAGTGAATGAACTGGTGGTGTATTTAATTTTAATGTAAGATGATCTTGACCATCTGGAGTGACCACAAAACCACGTACAGGTTCATAACTAAAACCTGTGTTTGCATTACCACAATAAGAAGGCCATTGATCTGGTAAATTGAACAATTTTTCAGCATCGGGTGAAATAC